AAAAATGCTAACAGCTTATTTTCAAAGCTTCAGTAGGGGTGGGCCCAGGCTACAGTTAGTTTATACTCTCCAGCTGCAGTTTTCCCTGCAGATGTTCTCATGCTGCACTGTGATTCTGGCATGTGCCTCACAACATCTTTTCTTAAAGTCTTTTCCTCCTGCCTATCCACATCGCACCTTCTAATTTCTCTTCTGCAATGGTTCTAAAACTGAGGTCTCTGAAAGTGTAACCTCTCTTGTCCCAACCTAGACCTACTGAATCAGATATTCTATGCAGAGGGACCAGTAGTTGGTATTCTAATAAGCCTCTCAAGAGTTTAAGATGCACAGTGAAATTTGAGAACCACTGCTCATCTGCCTGACCTACAGCCCAACCCCTGCCTAATCCTACGGCCCCACCCTCCCTGTCCTCATTCTAGTGTCCCCACCCAGCCCTCTGCTTGACCCTCATGAAACATCAATGTGTGGTTGCCTCTCACGCACCCCACACTGGGGACCCGACCTGCAACCCAGTCATGTGTCCTGACTGGGAATCAAACCAGCGACCCTTTGGTTCGCAGGCTGGCACTCAATCCACTGAACCACACCAGCCAGGGCTCCAACCATCTCCTTTAATAGATGAATAAACTGAAGCTTGAAGAAGAAAGGACACGTGCACAGAGTCACTTGTTAATTAAGAGTCAAATCAAGACTGGAACCATCCAAATGAAACCTGTAACAGGGTGGGTTTGGCCAGATTGCTGGGGAGCAGTGGAGGGGAACCCAGAAGCAGTGGGAGAGGCAGCACCTCCCCGCCACAGAAGGGAGGCAGTTACAGGAATCCCCAAAGGCAGCCTGGGATTGAAACTAGAACTGTGGTTTGATAGGTTTCCATGCCCTGGGTCAACAGCAAACAAAGTCAGCCTGGCTACCTGAACGAGCGAGCATTGCCCAAGCAGCTGAGCAGCTTGTGACACTGGCTGCACAGAGGCTGCAGAGGTGGAGAAGGTCAAAACACACATGTAACAAGATGCAGCTAAAGACTCTGCCCCCTTCTGGAAAATGGTGGCCAGAAGAGGGTCAAAGATACCACTGTGGCTGACGAACATGCCACAGTGCAGGCAGATATTAGCCTGCACTGGTTGAGAGCCAGATGTTCCGTGGCGCATGGGTTTCTGGTCAGGGCCTTTGAAAACAAAATGTGTGGGAAAACACACGCTGTTTCCCCTCCCCTTGGGAGCCCGGTCAGCCACAGGGGGCCCGAGTCCCTGGGCCAGTGGGCCCTGGAGGCCGCCTGGTCTGGGAGCAGTCCCAGCGCCACTCTCTGAGCAAAAAGTGGTAGCAGCACTGGTACTGCACAGGACTGCCTGGCCAGGCACACAGACCTACCGGCGAGCCGCAGGGAACGCGCGGAAGGAGGCGGAAGTTCTCACCTGGACAGAGCGGCTTCAGGGCAAATAAGACTGGTCACCTCAATGGGTGATCAATCCAGGTGCTAGAATGGCTTCCTTCCTCCTTGAGGGTGCTGACAAATGTCATTTAGGGGATTGTTTTAGGAAGTAAAAATTCATTTTCTAGCAGCCAATGCTTGAAAATGTTAATATCAGTCTAGGCAAATACCTCTATTGGCAACACAGAGCAGGACATTCTTGCACTAAATTTTCTAGGCCAGGCAACTCCTTCAGTCACATCACTAATTTAGGAAGTTTCACCTCCTTATATAAAACACGTTGTGCTTTTACTCATAATTTGATGCCAGGTTTAATGAGAGATGTGTGCAAAATGGAAACAAAGGCCTCATCACTGTGCACTGTGATTTCCAAGGACTAGAACTTGGGGCTGCAGGCAGTGAGTCCTCAGATTGTATTCATTAGCTTTATTTTTAAGTTGTAAGTTAACTGTTATAAAGAAATTTCACTAATTCTTTGGCCTCCGGATAAACCGCCGCCCCTAACACCTCTGGCCTTTTTTGAGCAGTGGGGATTCAGCTCCCCCCAACCCCTGACCACACTATGAAGCCAGCCTCCTCCTCTTAGAAATCTCCACCTCCCAGTTCTTGAATCTACTGTCATTTTGCCACCAAGTGCTCTCTTACGACACAAACATGAATCTGCATGGGTGCTTTTGATCGGAAGGGGACCCTATTATAGGGAAAGGAAAAGGTTTCAAGGTTAGTTAGTAGAAATCAAACAAGCTAGGTCGGTATATTTAGGACATCCTTGTCAACAAGACCATGGGAGTCAAGAATACAGTGTGAGTTTGGGCAAGGAGGGTTAAGGTTTCAAAAAGACTGATGTGCCCTCATTGGTTGCTGTGGTGACAGGTCCACCCCCCCACCCCCCATATGACAGTGATATACTAAAGAGAAAAATGTGCACAATAAAGCAGGCAGTAATTAGAGGGATGGGTGCGCAGCATGACTTCCAGTTAGCGCCACCTGCAGGGGGCTGCGGGAGGAGTTTGTGAGGGGGCATGTGCTACCGATGCAGGATCGGGGATGGGCGCAGAGGGGAAGATTCTGAAGACTTCCAGGAGCTGATGCTCTAGGTACAGCACACCCTGCTGCTCCAACTCTATCTGCCAACGTGGATGCCTGGAAAGAACTTGGGCTGGAAGTTCTACAGCAGGCAGAGTGGACTGTTTGTTACTTAACTTGCCCCTACTCTTGTGCACAGATTCCACCAAATTAATGATTTTAAAAAAAATGTCTGTCTCCGCCACTATCTAGACGCTTCCTGATGGTGGTGGTTCTTCTTAAAGCCCCAGTGCCTGGCATGGAGAAGAAACTGAAGATAAAAGAATGAAGTAAGGGACAAGCCCCTGCGGACCCACATCCGAGGCTGCTGCCTGAGCAGCCTGGAGCGAGTCACAGGACAGGCCGATTAATGTGTTATATGGTTTTAATTGACTCAAGTTGTTACTGGGACTCTGACCTGAGTTAAGACATAAATGATAAACTTTTTTTTTTTTAAATCAGAAAATGCAAGCAAAAAACAACCTAAGCAACAACGCTGTTTCAATTCTGTTAAACTTTCAGAGACACCCTTGCAATGAAATAATCAGTGACATGCATTATGCCACGGACAGCATGTATACAGCCCCAGAAAAAGTGCAACGTGGCCTGAGCAACATTCTGAACATAGAAAACAAAAGGCTGAGAAAAGCTAACACCCATAAAACACAAGATACCATATTCTAACAATGAAGAGAAGGCTGTTCCAACGCTGGGCAATGACTACAATGAGCAGAGCTTCTCCACCTTCATTCCTGTCAGAGTAAGACCAAAAGCAGATCGCTCTTGAGAATCTAGGCCAAGGATGTGGCGTCTGCCTTCTAGTTTCATGATTCTCACTCCCTCAACCATGTTCCTAAGTCAAGGAGCCCTCCAGCATGCTTGGGAGCGGCCATTTGCCACTCCCTGTCGTGGGAGACGAGCCATGTCCCATCCTACTCTTTGTCCCTGAAATGTTCTCTGGCAAAATAAGAAGCAGGAGGCAATACGGAATGTGGGGTTCATGCCTCTGGCAAAACAGCTGCTCAGAAGACAGGGCCTTCCACTTTGGAGCCTGAGCTTAGGGCCAAGGCAGGCAGTGAATACTGCCAGCTGGGAACAGTCCAGGAGTGGCGTGTGTGTGTCTGCGCGCACACACACAACAGGGAGAGGAAGGGAGATTGATTGATTGATTCATTTTGAGCCAAGAGAAGGAGTATGCTTTTCAGGCTAAGTGTGTGGTGGCTCATTCTGAAAGCAGCCCTCTCAGAAACCAGGCTGTGCAATCGCTGCTGTTGATCTGGAAATCAGGCATTTCCAGTTTTCTCTGTATATTTATACATGTTCATCATCTTGAAATTTGTTTAAAAAAAAAAACAACCTTAATCAACATACTGAAAAGTCCCCAGACCTTTTCACATTTGCAGAAGTCTTAGGTTCACATCAGTATGGAAACAGGGATGCTCAGGAGACTGAAGACATGGAAGGCGCAGGATCATGGGGTCATCATTTAGGTTAACACCAGTAAAGATCTGATCTCTTAAAACAGCGCTCTTTGGGTCCCTTTGGTCTCTGTAATTTTGGATGCTGAGGCTACCGGGCCACTGGGCAGTTCTCTGAGTAGCCTTCATAGATTCTAGAGGCTGGCCAACATGTAAATATAAAACAGTTTCAGAAAATGCCTTCATGGAATGACAGTCACGGTAAAGCTATCATTCATTGCATACCTACAATTTACACATATTACCTCATTTCTCTTCACAAAACTATTCCAAGGATGGTATTAACATTCCCATTTAACAGATGAAGAAATTGAACTTCAAAAGAGATCACACTGCTTAAGTGTACACATCTGGTAAGTAGCAGAGCCAGGAGTTGCTTTCTTCTACTGGCTGACCTTCCTATTCCCCCCACATCATAGGCTTACCAGAGTCCATATTTGAAAACAGGATGATTTATCTACATTCTGTGTGTTTTCATGACCTCTCCTTTCTCTCAGAGAAAGAAAAAGATTCACCTGAAGAAAATGTTCACTGAATCAGAATCAAAGACCCCTGAACTTTTTGTGTTCCTAGTATCTTGACTGAGCTCATGAGGTCACCACCTCTCTTCTGGGTCCACTCCCGCCTGCACAAGCCCTCCGCCTGCTTCCCGTGAAGCCAGGCAGGGGAGCATTATTAACACAGATTAGCCGGACAAAGAACATAAAAAATTTCCATAACACCCTTGTCCAGAGAATTCCAACAAGAACCTTTTCAGATGGAAAATCTTGCCCTTACATGTGAGAGAAAAGTCATCAGCCTCCAATTAAATGGAAGGCTTGCAAATAAAAGACATTTCATATCATTTTGAAAGGCTAGGTATAACCATATCCTCAACTCCGGGATGTGCTCATTGCCGGAGTGATCCCCTCTCCCCCAGCGCACCCAGCAGGGGACCCAGGGACAAGGGAGCTTCGGTAATTGATGTCCATCCCCTGGCCTGGAGATCCGCCCTTGACCACCCATTCCAGTCAGCTTCTGTCACTCACCCAGGAGGGCCGTCTGGGGGTGGGTCCGAGCATGTCTTCCTCTGGAGATGGACCTCCAGGGTGGCCGCTCCCTGGCCTCAGCAGGGAGGAGGAGGATCTGTCCGAGGATCAGCAGGAGGCAGCCCACCAGCATCTTTTCCATCTTCAAGAAGAGGAAGAGGGGCAAAGCTGTGACAAACAGAACAGGAGAGGGGGGCAGGGTGAGCTGTCGGGGTCTCCTTGCACTCTAGGTGCTGCAGACTGCCGTCTTCTCACGTTTCACACATGGCACTTGTCATTAAAATACCGTTTGTGTGAGTGATCCTTAAGAACCCAAGTAACCGATGGCGACTGGTAGGTGCTTGGTTACTCTGAGCAGGGCATGCATAGTTGGGATTTTTCATCACTTCGGTCACTATAAGACTGAATAGGAAACTTCAGGGGGGAAAAATCTATCCTGAAGTTTCTTCTCGATTAAGTTTTTATCAATTATTCACATATTCTGTATCTTGGATTTGAATAATGAAAAACCTCACCTGAGGGTTCCAAGTAATAATATCCCTTCAGTCTAATAATAGTGAATGGTACAAGTTAATATACATAAATTTCCCAAGAAAGTCATGCATAGGTGACATAAGGTAGCCTCACATAGTTAGCCTCCCAGCCTCCCACCCACATCTACATAGAGGTAGCATGATGCAGCAGTGAAGGGCTTAGACCTTGGCACCAGACTACATGGCTTTGAATCTTGGTTCTGACACTTCATGTGTGTGACCTTGGGTGAGCTCCTTAACCTTCCCAAGCCTTATAGGAATATGAGATGATACTAGTTAACTGAGTGAGTTAATGCATGTGACTGCATCGTTCAAAACAGCGCCTGGCACACACGGGGAGGTGGGGACCACCAAGCAAGCAAAGGAGCTAGGGGACAAGAAAAGCATAGGATCAAACCAGATGTTGAGGAAGGAGCTCTCTTGTACATGAAGAATTCTAGCCTTGAGCTGAGTTTCAGGTCCACAGGGGTAATGGGAGTTTCAACCCAAGTAGCACTGTCTTAACAGAAACAGAGCTGCCTTTCCAGTTTTCTGTATCGGTCCCAGAGGGCGCTGGGTGTAAAGGCTTTGGAGGAAGGATTCTAAGCAGAGAAGTGACAGTCAGATCCAGGTTTTCCCATGATATGGCCCATTCAGTGCTTCACATGCACTAAGAAAGGTACTTGGTGAATGATGCCAAGACTGTTCTGCCTGGGGGCAAAACCTCACGGAGAAGGTTATATTCTGGGACTGGATTTAAATGCATTTTTCCATTATCTATGAACATCATGGGTGTCATAGCAATGTATTAATTGATACAAATTAGGTGGGGAGGAGGAATATTTAAGGAGGAACAACTTTTAAATAGTGTCATTTGCATATAAAATCTTTACTAAGTCCTTATCTTGCTCTTGGTCATTTCACCCAATGGACTTCATTTAATCCTTACACCTGTCTCGCAGAAACCAGAATTATAATTTCTGCCCTTTAGAGATGAAGAAACTGAGGCTCAAAGAAATTTCATAACTTGACCAAGGTCACACACAGCTGAAGTGAGTGACAAAGTAGAGATTCCAACCCAGGGAAAGTAGACCAATTTGCCAATTCATTGATTAGTAGAAAACTCAGTTATTTACAGGTCAAATCACCAAAAGTCAATTCATGAAAGGCCATAGCTGAGTCAACTTCAGGGGTGGGGGGAGAGCAGGCATCATTTCCCAAGCTTAAACAACAATACTCAATAATTAAGTGAACTGTTTGTTCAGCAAACTGCTTTCAGGAACTGACCTGGAGATAAACTCAGGCGTGCCAACCTTCAAAGTCCACAGTTTTTCACATTTGCTGTACTGAGGTAGTTCCCTGTTCACTATGCATTAAAAAATGCATTAAAATAGCCAATGTTTATTCAGGGATTACTACATGCCAGTCACTGAGCCAAGTGGGGTTTTTTTGTTTGTTTTTTTACATATATATTTTATTGATTATGCTATTACAGTTGTCCCATTTATTTCTCCCCTTTTATTCCCCTCCACCCTGCACCCCACTCCCACCAGCACCCCCCTCTTTAGTTCATGGCCATGGGTAGTACATATAAGTTCTTTGGTGTCTCCATTTCCTATACTATTCTTAGTACTATGCCCATATCTATTTTGTACCTACCATTTATTCTTCTTATTCCCTGTACCTTTTCCCCATTCTCTCCCTCCCCTTTGATCTCCATTTTTGTGATTCTGTTCCTGTTCTAATTGTTTGCTTACTTTGTTTTTGTTTTGTTTAGGTTCAGTTGTCAATAGTTGTGAGTTCAGTTTGTAGTCATTTTACTCTTCATAGTTTTTATCTTCTTTTCCTTAGTTAAGTCCCTTTAACATTTTATATAAGGGCTTGGTGACGATGAACTCCTTAAACTTTAGCTTATCTGGAAAGCACTTTATCTGCCCCTCCATTTTAAATGATAGCTTTGCTGGATAGAGTAATCTTGGATGTAGGTCCTTGGCTTTCATTACTTTGAACACTTCTTCCTAGCCCCTTCTTGCCTGTAAGGTTTCTTTTGAGAAATCAGCTGACAGTCTTATGGGAGTTCCTTTGTAGGTAACTGTCTCCTTTTCTCTTGCTGCTTTTAGATTCTCTCCTTATCTTTAATCTTGGGTAACTTAAATATGATGTGCCTTGGCGTGCGCTTCCTTGGGTCCAACTTCTCTGGGACTCTCTGAGCTTCCTGGATCTCCTGGAAGTCTATTTCCTTGGCCAGCATGGGGAAGTTCTCTTTCATTATTTTTTTCAAATAAGCTTTTAATTTCTTGCTCTTTCTTCCTCTTCCCCTTCTGGCACCCCTATCATTCGGATGTTGGAATGTTAAAGTTGTCCCAGAGGTTCCTAATCTTTTCCTCATTTTTTTGAATTCTTGTTTCTTCATTCTGTCCTGGTTGAATGTTTATCTCTTCCTTCTGCTCCAAATCGATTTGAGTCCTGGTTTCCTTCTCTTTATTGTTGATTCTCTGTATATTCTTCTATATTTCACTTTGCACAGCCTTCATTTTTTCCTCCATTTTGCAACCATACTCAACCATTTCTGTGAGCATCCAGATTACCAGTGTTTTGAACTGTGCATCTGATAAGTTGGCTATCTCTTCATCACTTAGTTCTATTTACGGAGCTTTGATCTGTTCTTCCATTTGGACCATATTTGTCTCAGCACGCCTGTTACATTCAAAGGGGTGGAGCCTTAGGTATTCACCAGGGCAGGGCAACCCAGGTCACTATGTTGTGACGCTGCATGTGGGGGAGGGGTCTGAGAGGGAACAATCCCACTTGCTCGGCTCTTGGCTGGCTTTCAGTCACTTCCCCTGCTACCCACAAGCAAGCAGGGCCCATCTAGTGCTGATTCCCGGATGGGTGGGTTTGTGTATGGGTCCGGCTGGGGTCCTGTGGGTCTCTCCAGCGAACTCTCCTGTGAGACTGGGAGTTTCTCTTACTGCTGCATCCCCCACAGGTTTTTACAGCAAGAGGTTTTGAAGCTTTCTTTTCCAGTGCTGGAACTGTGGATTGTGTGGTCTGTCTCACTCCCCACCTGTTCCTCCTGGTTTATCCACGCACAAATGTGGGACCACCTGGTACTCTAGCCGTGGCCTTGCCACACGTCCTCTCTGCCCCGGCTGCCTGTCTCCGCCCCTCCTACTGGTCTGGATGAATGTTTTTTCTTTAATTCTTTGGTTGTTGGACTTTCATACAGTTTGATTTTCTGGCAATTCTGGTTGTTTTTTGTTTTTAATTTGTTGTCCTTCTCTTAGTTGTGTGAGGAGGCAAAGTGTATCTACCTATGCCTCCATCTTGGCTGGAAGTCCCTGAGCCAAGTGCTTTAAAAATATCAAGTCATTTGATTTGTACAGTAACTCAGTGGAGTTAAGTAACTTGAAGGAGGTTTTTTAGCTGATAAAGGGGTAAAGCTCTGGAGCACACTGGTTTATCACAGGTGACTACTGCCTCCCTTTTTAAACAAATTAAACTGTTTACTAATTGGTCTGATCCCTTTTCATAGCTTTAACTGTGAGATTCCTTCTGAGAAAAGGAAGGAAACTTAGAAGACGTTTGCCTCTTTCTCTGGCATTTTATTATTATTCTAATTTTTCAATCACAGTTTATGTGTTTCAGTCCTTCCTTAAAAAACACTTTCTCTTATCTTAAGCTTCCTTGATACTTATTCTAAGTGTGTTTCATCATTTATATGTTATTATTTTAATGCTCCTCTCCTTCCTCCAAACTGAGGAAATACAGTAGTCTCCCTGGATCTGCAGTTTTGCTTCTGGCAGTTTCAGTTACCTAAAATCAAATACAGTCCAAAAATATTAAGGGGACAATTCCAGAAATAAACAATTCCTAAATTTCAAATTTCATGCCAGTCGGAGAAGTGTGATGATATCTTTCCCGCTCTGTCCTAACCTGGCCATGAATCACCCCTTTGTCCAGCATCTCCACACTGTACATGCTCCCCGCCTATTAGTCACTAGTAGCCCTGCTGGTTGTCAGATGACTGTCAAGGCAGCACATAGTGCTTGTGCTCAAGTAGCATTTATTTTACTTACTAATGGAGCAAAGGGTAGTGATGTTGGCAATTTGCATTTACCAAAGAGAAACCATAGAGTGCTTCCTTTAAGTGAAAGGGTGTATACATAGAGGGAAAAAAACACAGTATAGATAGGATTCAGTACTATCCATGATTTCAGGCATCCACTGGGGGTCTTGGAATGTGTGCCTGCAGATAGGGGGGAAATTACTGTACAGAGTCCATTTTTATTTATTTCAAAATGTATATAGTATGTTCATAACCCAATTCCATCCTGACACATCTGAATTTAAATCCAAACATTTAGAACACGATGTGGTAGATAATTATCATTTTCAGAAAAACCAAATACTATTTCATGTGGTTTGGGTTTACTTTGGATTTCAAGAAGTGTTTGCATTTTCAAGTTACCACTGATAACCAAAAGGCACTGCGTATAGGTAAAGGGTACAGAGTTAAAAATAAATATAACTATGTACCCCTGAAACTAATGTAATATTGTATGTCAACTATAACTGAAAAATAAATTTTACAAAATAATCTTAAAAAATGATTAAAACAATAAAATAA